ACACAAACACACACACACACAAACACACACACATTTCAATCCAACATATATGTATATGCACATAAGTAATTGAGGCTTAGTTATGAACATTTGTGTTAATGCAGAGCCTAGAAAGCTTGAGAAAATTGCATAATAATAGATGAAGATTCAATTTTTTTTTTTCTGTTTGTTGATTGACTTTGTACTCTCTTTTTTCCCCAGAATTATTATTGCTTTTGGTGATGAAGCACGGGTCGTTCCAGGACAATTCTTCAGTAACAATTTTTTTTTTTTTTTGTTCCTACTTAGTTTTTGGGTATTTCTGTGACCATGTAGATTTATTTGTGTTTAATTTCTTCATTTAATTGGGTTGTTGATGAGGTTCTGTTTGTTAATTTCTTAGCTCATGTAAATATTATTATGCAATCCAAGAGTGACTTTCTCTGGCTACAGCATTCCTAATCCTGCAGATGCTCGAGTAAACATAAGAAGGTGTATACTTAAGAAATCTAAGGTATGAAAATGTATACTTAATTGAGTGTAGTTTAAGTGAGTTCTGTATATTATTTTTAAGTGAGTTCTGTATAAAAATGAGTTTAAGTGAGTTCTGTATGAAAATGTATATTTCTTAAAGATCTTTAAGAAATATTATTTTTCAATCATCTAAGAAGGGTCCTTTTTCGATTCAATTGCATTGGACTATTTTGAGGTTCAATATGTTCTCTGGCTAATTTGTTATTCTCCATGGCGAGTGTACAATCATAGTGGAATTGCATAGAATGAAGGCAATGTCTCCCTGGCTTCATTATGTGTAGTTTGTGTGTTTATATATTTAATGTCGTAACATATAATTCGATTGAAGAGTGTTTCTTAGATTTTTAGACTGCATCTTGTTTATATATTTTGTGATTCCTACTTTTGTTGTGTTGCAGTAAATGTTATTGGATAATGTTGACCTGGGAATAAATGTTTCAGGAGGGTCATTTAACAATTATGTAATGAACATTGCAGTAGGGTCATTTGCCACCCTACTGTAATTGAGAAAGTAAATAGCTTCCAAAAAATTATTAGGAGGAGACAATGCAATATTCAAAGTAACAAGACAAAATGACTAATTTGGAACCCTGAAGTTTCACTAGATTCACATCTTAATTTTTTGGTGTGATGGCAGCTCTTTCACTAAATTTTGAGCATGGGTGTTTTTAGAGGAGCTTTAATTACATCGTTCATTGCCTTAATCTCCAAAGAGAGGACTAGAGGACATGAGAAATTTTAGACTGATCAGTTTGGTGGGCAGTGTTCAAAAGATCATGTTTGATATTATAGAAAAAGTAATCGGTGGGGTGATTTTGGAGAGTCAAAATACTTTTTTGAAATGAAGGTAAATTTTGTTTCTTGATTTTTTATATGGTTGGGTATTTGTGGATTCTCATGCTTGATTTATTTCTGGGTTCGTAGTTATAGTCTTTTACTGTAGTGGTGCATAGAAGCTGCTATGCATATGGAAGAAGTGAAGCAATACTACATTGGTCATGGGGTAACAAAGAAGCATTATAAAAGGCATCACGAGGAGGGTGATCTTTTTGGTGTCTCCTTTGTGCTCTTGTATAGATTGTTAGGGAGAGGTTTTCTCAAGTTTGGTCTTGCTGTAAACCATTTGGATGGTGGCCTTTGGTTTCTCTGGAGGTGGCCCTTCACATGTATCCCATGTGCAATTTTTAATATTGACTCAGTTCTTAGTTCTTACTTACATAAATGCATCATCGTTTTGAAACTAAATTTCGGCATAGTAAGTCAAGAAAGCTTGATATATGATATAGGAAAAACTGATCTTGTAGATAATTTGTTTCTAGATCTTCAGAAGCTCTGGGCCCCGTTTGTTTTGAGTTATAGCAAGGGGATTAGGATTACTAGTACCTTGGGATTAGTATATGAGGTGTTTGTTTTGAGAGATAGCCTTGGGACTATTAATACCTTGAGACTAACTAATACCTTGGTATTACTAATACCTTGTTTGTTTTGAGAGATAGGGAGGGTACTACTAATACCTTGGTATTACTAATACCCTTGGGGAGGGGATTCATAGTGAGGAGGTAGAGATGGTATTAGAAAAATAGTGAGGGGATTAGAAATTTTTTTATTTTTTTTATTTTTTATATATTGGAAATTTTTTTTAAAATATAATTTTTAATTTTTTATATTTTTTTATTTGTTTTATTATTTTATATAAAAATAATTTAACAATTTCTCACTACTAATCCCCTCACTATCAATCCCCTCACTACTAATCCCCTCACTATCAATCCCCTTACTAACAATCCCCTCACTATCAATCCCCTCACTATCAATCTCCTCTATTCTATCTCTGAAAACAAACGACCCTCACTAACAATCCCCTCACTATTAATCCCCTCACTATCAATCCCCTCCATTCCCTCCATTCCATCTCTGGAAACAAACGGGGCCCTGATGTGCTAACTATAGTATGATGTACTAACCATAGTATGTATTTATGCATAGAAGCAACATACTTTTTCTATTTCTCTGTGGGTTATTTAATTCACAAATATGACAACTTTTCAGTCTTGCATATATGGTATAACAACGGTTGCTGCTGCAGGTTTCAGATGGTGACCACATTGACAGATTAATATCTTGCCTGCATATGGCTCTTCCATTTTTTACGGTACAAATTGTATTTGCAATCAATTTTACCAAATTTAGTGGATTATATGATTATCTGTCCACCTTAACTTTTTTTTTTTTTGGGTTTCCAGAGGGGTGCATCAAGTAATAGGTTTCTCAACTATTTGAACAAGAATATTGTACCTGTTTTTGATAAGGTAATTAGTACTTTCCACTAATTATTTTATTTGGAGATTAAAATAAATAGTAGAGTTTGTAATTGTCCTACATTTTGCGCATTTGAACTAGACCCAACGTTTATAATGTCCTAACTTTGTTTTTGCCAACTTACATTACTTCGTAATTGACTTCAATGTGTTACCTCATTTGGTAATGAAATATCATACAGAAGAATGCATTATAAATCATAATGATAACTATGTATTATTACAACTTATGAGCAAATCTTCTCAGGCTTTTTGTAGCAAATGAAGTAACTTTAAAAAGGGAAAAATAGCTCTTGTATTAGTAAGTTTGTTGTATTATTATCTGAATCTAAAGAAGATCCAATCCCAGCAAAATACTTTTTCTTCATGACGTGGAACCCCTTCAAGGCAAGGCCACTTTGGGCTGACCCTTGCAGGCTGAACCTCGGATACCAACATCCAATCCCTGCCAAATACATTCCTAAGATATCTTGTAATATTAATTAAGGCCTGGTTTGGCATGTCTTAAACAAGACAAAAAGTCAGGCATTCTTCTACCAGGAAGAATTCTCATCAAAAGAACAGTCCAAGTATATGCTAAAAAATATTAACAAAAAAATAAATGATCATGATCAAACCCATTGCACAATACACACTTGTTTTCAGAAACAATCCCCCACTTAAACATTCTATCCATTGTAGCCAGTCCTCACTGAACAGCAACCCATTACACAAAGCTCCACTTAGGAACATTTTGAGGCAACCATGCCAATTTATGTCAAGGGACGATAGGGTATAGTGTTTGAATTGCTTGCCAAGCTATTCACCATTACTAGAGGGTAGCCAAAACACGGAGTCAGGCCTATTAGGATTCAATACAAAGCTAGCAGGGTATTAGCTTCAATCTCAGAACAGCAACCAATTGCACAAAGCTCCACTTAGCAACATTTTGAGGAAACCATGCCAATTTATGTCAAGGGACGATAGGGAATGCCATTTGAATTGCTTGCCAAGCTGAAGCCACAGTATATTCACCATTACTAGAGGGTAGCCAAAACACTGAGTCAGGCCTATTAGGATTCGATATGAAGCTAGCAGGGGTATTAGCTTTAATCTCAGTAATAACCACTCTTCTACCTCTAGGCCACTTCTAATTCCCAAAATTAATGATAAGAGGAAACTCTGCTATTCACAGCCATGCCCATATGAAAAGCAACCCTTTCCCCATATTTCTTATTCAAAGGACCCAAGGGATGCCAATTATCAAATCGCGGAAATGTAACAGTCCCATCACCAATGATATATTGATCAAAGGCTGCCCCACAGCTCTTAGTTCAAAAAACTTCCTGACAGTCCAAGATGCCTCAGTAGGAAGACACTTACCCTTAATTACACAAGTATGGACCCACTTAACCCACAAAGAATCAGCTTTCTTACTTAAAGCCCACAAAGGTTGTCTTAGCATAGTGGCCTTATTCCACTCTCTCAAATTTCTGAATCCCAAGCCCTCTTCAGCCTTTGGTGCACAAATATGCATCCACTTCACGAGAGATCTAAATATATACACATAAACATTTGATATGTGTAACTAACAGTTTGGGTTTCTTTCTCCTTAATGGATGACAATGAAGGAGAAGAATAAGCTGACTGTAATAGCTGAATGGTTGGTTGAATGTTTTGTCCAGTCAAAAGATGATGAATCAGGTTTAAATAGAGAAACTTTATAACAATGTCTTTGTGATGTTGGAAATGTGCCTTCTTGTATGCTGTTTGCAGGAAATTGCGTGGCAGCGGCATGATGAGATTCAACCTGCAAATGAGGATGTGATATCTCGTGGGACCACTGGCCTCAAGCTCTATATGGTTGCTCCTTTCTTGGTGTAAGTGTCGTGGCACTTGCGTCTATAAAGTATCCGCACAGGTTTTTCTTTCTTTCAAGGTCAAGAAAGCTCCAATTACAGATTCAACAATACCTCAAGTAGCTTATGTATTGTCCTTGAAGTAGTTAAAGTCGATAGCAAACAATTAGACGACACTTGTGCTGAACTGAAATTTTGGAGATTTTGCTGTTGGTCCTGAATTTGATATGCCTTTAAAGGTTACTAGTTTGCTATTGAAGTTCTCTCACGTAGAGCTACAACTTAGAAGAGTTTCCTAATGAGATTCTCTCCCTTGCATAGGGTCTCACACACAATAGATCTAATCTAGGTGGCCACGAGAAGTTAGTCGCAACCAGTTCTTGATATTAGAGAGGAGGCCAAGGGGCCAAGGTCGAATTACGTGAAAATCTTATAATAAAAGAAGAGGTTAAGTGAGTAACTAGATTTCTGTTACAAGTGAGAGCATCTCAAACAGACTTCAAATTCAATGAAGAGATGTGTCTTCTACTCCAATTGATTTTGTCAATCTGGAAAATTCAACTTCATAGTTAAGAAGGTTGCATTGTTCTGCTTTTCAATTTCTATTGAAGAAGAAAAAGCAGTTTCAACTCGAGAATTTTCATAGCAAACAATAGATGCACTTTTAAAGCTTGTGGATTTTTATATTTCTAACTCACCGATTCTTCGATTGATAATTGGACTGTTGTGTAGTAACGGAAAAAAAGAAAAGAAAAAGAAAGGTGTCATTGCCACTAGAAGGATTGTAACTATAGGCACTGCCACCAACACTCATGCTGCCATGGGTGTTACAATTTTTACAATTTACTTGCCACCACCCTCACTCCCATCAATGTTGCCATCATCACTGCCAACATTCCAACCATGACCAGCATCATGCATTTCTTGACATCCCTAGTACTGCCATTGCCCGCTCAACCACTACCTCCAGCAGCACCATCACCATCATTTTTCCATCACTATTACCACCAAATAACTGCTTCAATATGCCACACTAACTGTCTTCTGCCACCAACATTGTTTTCCTTCACCTCTAGTTCAATGCTATCTCATTTTTTACATCTCATCAGTCTTGGGTAACATCCAACTGT